CATACTTATGGATCATTATGTTGGAAAACAATACCATCTGAACATAAGACAGTCATAAACAAGTGTCAACAGATGCTTAACTTGGACAGGGTTTCTGTGAGCATGTTTCTGAGACTATAGTTGAATTCAATGAAACAAAGTGGCAGCTCTATCGGCCTGGTAGTTTCAGAGATGTCGAAAATGCGAAAAGTGATGATGGACAGACATTTGTAAACAAGACAGACAATGCATCACAATGAAAGCTGAAATGATTTTCAGTCAGGTGAGCTAGTACATATTCATGAAATATCAGATGAGAAAATCCATTTTGGTGTTCAGCTTTCCTTTTTTCCAAATGTAGCAAATGAAAACGAATGTGATCAGTAATGGCTTAGGTTATCTCATTGTAAAATTGACAATATAAAAACACAATACACCAACAGTATGTACATACTCTATAGTAACAGCTTAGCTGTCAAACACTTGAGCTAAAAATAAATTATGCTAGGCTGAAATACAACACTACATAATGCAATACACGTGGTCTATATGATTATATGTCTAAACAGCATTTTAACATAACAAATAAATACAGCATTCTTCCATTGGGAAGGAGTGCCCTCTATACATATATGGTTGTATGGCAACAATACACTGTTTTAATACCATCCTCATAACCGTGTGGTACAGAGAACCAGTTGTTGATATTATGAGCAGGAATCCACACAGCCAGGGCATGAACATAGCGATCCATCATGTCACTGCGTCTGACCAGCCAATCAAACAAGGGCTGCTGGGGACCAAGTCTTCCCAGAATCCCCAACTGCAGACTTGACAACGGCAGCAGCATCCATCAATCCATCATGTCACTGCATCTGACCAGCCAATCAAACAAGGGCTGCTGGGGACCAAGTCTTCCCAGAATCCCCAACTGCAGACTTGACAACAGCAGCAGCATCCATCATGTCACTGCGTCTGACCAGCCAATCAAACAAGGGCTGCTGGGGACCAAGTCTTCCCAGAATCCCCAACTGCAGACTTGACAACGGCAGCAGCATCCATCAATCCATCATGTCGTCTGACCAGACCAATCAAACAAGGGCTGCTGGGGACCAAGTCTTCCCAGAATCCCCAACTGCAGACTTGACAACAGCAGCAGCATCCATCATGTCACTGCGTCTGACCAGCCAATCAAACAAGGGCTGCTGGGGACCAAGTCTTCCCAGAATCCCCAACTGCAGACTTGACAACGGCAGCAGCATCCATCAATCCATCATGTCACTGCATCTGACCAGCCAATCAAACAAGGGCTGCTGGGGACCAAGTCTTCCCAGAATCCCCAACTGCAGACTTGACAACAGCAGCAGCATCCATCATGTCACTGCGTCTGACCAGCCAATCAAACAAGGGCTGCTGGGGACCAAGTCTTCCCAGAATCCCCAACTGCAGACTTGACAACGGCAGCAGCATCCATCAATCCATCATGTCACTGCATCTGACCAGCCAATCAAACAAGGGCTGCTGGGGACCAAAGTCTTCCCAGAATCCCCAACTGCAGACTTGACAACAGCAGCAGCATCCATCATGTCACTCGCGTCTGACCAGCCAATCAAACAAGGGCTGCTGGGGACCAAGTCTTCCCAGAATCCCCAACTGCAGACTTGACAACGGCAGCAGCATCCATCAATCCATCATGTCACTGTGTCTGACCAGCCAATCAAACAAGGGCTGCTGGGGACCAAGTCTTCCCAGAATCCCCAACTGCAGACTTGACAACGGCAGCAGCATCCATCAATCCATCATGTCACTGTGTCTGACCAGCCAATCAAACAAGGGCTGCTGGGGACCAAGTCTTCCCAGAATCCCCAACTGCAGACTTGACAACGGCAGCAGCATCCATCAATCCATCAATCACTGTGTGACCAGCCAATCAAACAAGGGCTGCTGGGGACCAAGTCTTCCCAGAATCCCCAACTGCAGACTTGACAACGGCAGCAGCATCCATCATGTCACTGCGTCTGACCAGCCAATCAAACAAGGGCTGCTGGGGACCAAGTCTTCCCAGAATCCCCAACTGCAGACTTGACAACGGCAGCAGCATCCATCAAGTCACTGAGTCTGACCAGCCAATCAAACAAGGGCTGCTGAGGACAGAGTCTTCCCAGAATCCCCAACTGCAGACTTGACAATGGCAACGACATCCATCATGTCACTACGTCTGACCAGCCAATCAAACATGGGCTGCTGGGGCCAAGTCTTCCCAGAATTCCCAACTGCAGACTTGACAACGGCAACGACATCCATCATGTCACTGAGTCTGACCAGCCAATCAAACATGGGCTGCTGGGGGCCAAGTCTTCCCAGAATCCCCAACTGCAGACTTAACAACTTTCCCTCTGTCCCAACATCAGACACTGATCCTGGTCTGGACCCACACAGTAAGGGTAATAACACAGTTAACGCCATGGCAGGCAGATGGGAGGGAAAATCGTTATTTTGCGCAAACTTGGAACTTTCTTAACAGTGCTTACATTATTATTCAAACGAACTTGAGCACTGCTATTAACAAAACAATCTAAACACTAAATATCAAAGTAGTTTTGTACCTTATCTGGTCCCAATAAAGTAAACTACAAGACACCGTCGAAAAATATATCATAATAACTGGGAGAATAAACATTCAATTGAAGAATTGTAAACATCACCAGCCATTGATTTGGTCAAATATCAGCCTCTGTGTACGACGGGATGTCCCAGCGACGTAGTCATTACACAGTACACACCCATTGACTGCATGAGCTCAGTGTTGCATGTAATAACTAAGGGAGTGACAAGGAGGGTCACCTTCCACCCTTGTTCCCAGTTGTAAGACATTGAGACGTGTGCAACCACTGACCAATACACTGAATCAATGATGGCAATTGCATGCCTTTTGTAAGTATCACATTTGTGTTATATTGGATTCATAACTATTCCACAGCAAAGTATCAGCTCAGAGCTGAGGTGTACATTACTCTTCTGTCAAAATTCACAGGCCCCATACAAACACACAACAATAGCAGGTAAACCACTACTTCTCACTCATCTGTGTGCGACAATCGTTTGAGACGATAACCCAGCTCCAATACGTAATGACAAGGAAGTTCATTTCCTTAGCTGCTTGGCAACACATGCCAAATCAACCAATCAATAGGCTTGTTTGTTTCAAATAAATCTCTGAAGAGTATTTGACAGGCACAGCTTTGTGGCTATCCACAGTTTGGGTGCCAAGTATGATTCTCTCACCATACATAGCACTACTAAATAGAGAGTACCACCTACTTCATTTCACCATTGCATGACAGATGAACTATAGTGAATACAAAAGAGTATTCTTGTAGCTATGTCCAAAGAGTAGTTTTTATGTGATATGGGGAAACCAACAATGTAACTGTTGCAGTCGAGCATTAACTCTCACCTGCTGCCAAACTATGTAGATATGTGAGGGGAAAAGAACTTCCGCAGCACTATTTGCATCACAGAAAGGTAGTCATGAACGCATTTGGGTGGAACACATTTTTACAATTACAGATGTGGGCACTCATGCCACAACAGTAAACTCATTTAGTACTGGAACAAGTACAAGCTTACCCCAAACAGTAACTCTGTTAACGTTACTTTGTTTACGATAAAATATGGTCCCTAAATTCAATAGACTCAATTTTAAGGCTTACCTCAAGTGTACTTGGAGCAACAATGCAGTGTACTGGGCCCAGCTTACTGACATGCCTATTGTCAGAGACTTGACGACTGTGGCTCTCGCTAAAAGAATCTTGAGTGCCTCCTGGGTTCGTTGTGTTTGGACTAAGGAAGGTAACACCCTACTCTATTCTCTTCTCTTGGAAACCCTTTACAATCATTTGGGTTTGCTACCCCTTTCCAATCCAACACCCAATTCACAATCCTTAGGGTTGACCACCACTTGCCAATCACGCACCCCCTTACAAGTCTAAGTCACCCCTTTACGGTCATTGGTGTCAGGCATCCCTCTATGGTCCTTAGGTCTAGGCACCCACTAATGGTCCTTAGCGTTCTGAATCCCTTTATGGTCCTATACAACAGTCTTCGTGTTTTACATTTAACACTAAACCCCCGTCAGGACCCCCACACAGCTGCATCAACACATCAATGAAACATCTGAACATGTGGCAGTATCATGCAATATTAGCTATGTGAAAACTCAAAACTGATCATTAACCATCGTACTGAACTAAGTACTTACAATGACCATCAGGATCCTATGACCACATAACATACATAAAGCAGAAAACACTCAACTGTCGCACCATCACATGAACTAAAAGTAAAGTCAGTACCTCATGCCATGAAGGTGCTCAAATTAACATGGATTAATCATTTATAACATTATCAAACCCAAACATAACAACATTAAATCTTTTCTGTTATTTCAGCAATGTTTGATGTGGACTACATACATAGGTATGAAAGATGATTGTTTTACACCACAACCACGGCACAGGAGTACCTTGTCATCGTCGTCATCATCATCGTCATCGTCATCATCATCATCATCATCATCATCATCATCATCATCATCATCATCATCATCATCATCATCATCCATTATTCAACAAATGCACAAGGTGAACTATACTGAAAAACTTTGAAAACACATATTACATTTTTGGTAATGTTTGACAGAATGTCCACGAAAATCAGATTAAACTGTTGTGGATACTGCAGGAGATTATCAAACACCACAATGGCATTGTAAAAGTTCAAACCTCATTCCATGTGTCTGGATATGGACCTGAGCATCAACACATTTTTCTGATTTCAAGTTAAAATTGATTATGTGTTTTCAAAGTGATTAAGGATATGGTTTCTCCTGTTCCCATTGATTTGTAGATTATTCCTTCCTGAGGACAATCTACAATAACCATGGTCCCAAAGGAACACCTAGGTCAACTCTTCGTTCTTTGCATCGTCGTCAGTGATACAACCATTATCATTATATTTTCCCCTCTTTGTCCCAACAGAAATGAAAGCCCAATGGCTGCTTAAAAAGAAACACTTGGCAACAGGTTTTTGACATTGTTCAAATTCATATGAGCTGTTTCTTCACAGCCGTAAACTCACATCAGTACAAGTGTGACTGAAAGCTCATTGGTTGTGTGTGTCTTGACCAATCGGACAAACATCACAAGCCAGTGTGTCTGTTAGTGTCTGTTCATGGCCATTATTACTGTGCCAGATAGAGGGCCAGACTGTAGGTGGAAGCTGATTGGTCGAGCCAAGACACACTCATTGGTCCTGTAAGGTCATGTGATCTCCTGGAGCTACAATGGCACACACACACACATGGGAAGTGTCATCAACACAGCTGTGAAGGATGTCAGCTCTGGGATGCAGCAGCAGTCTCGGTTTCTGAATCAGACAGGTCATCATTATCCGAGGAATTGTCCAACTTTTCATCAAGCTTGGCTTTTATTACATCCAGTCTCTTCTTTATGCCTTGGTAGTCGAATATCCCACGTCTCTCTCCAAAGGGATCCTGCAAAGAGGCACATAAATGCAGGTTAGTATTATCCAATGGCATATGACCTGCTACATACCAGGCAGTATGTAACTACTGTCAAGTGGAGGATACATTGTAGCACACACACCTGTAGCTGTAGGGTGAGCACTAAACTACACCAATGTTGGAAGCCATATGTATACACCATGTAGCATCTGATTTAAACATATTTTATTCAGTGAAGAAAGGGATGAGGAACAAGTTATCCAACTTAGGTAACCCTCTCCCGAGTATTTACAACATGATAAATATACAACAACATACAAGAAATATAGAAAGAAATATAGTACAGAAATGGTAGAGACCTATGTACAGAGATAATTATTAAGACATATGAAAATATTTACAGCATTCAAGAAAAAAACGCTTGCTATTTAATATGTAATGCTGAACTGCTTTAGATATTGCATGATTTTGAGTATATTGTAAGTTCTTGCTGCCATTTAATAATAAATGTAAATTTAAAGCATCATGTAGCATCTTGATGGGAAAGGGGGTCCCAAAAGGATGAAGGTCTTAAAACATTTACCTCTTCAGTGAAACCAATGATAAGAGTCTGGATTTGATAAAATTAGAAACATAATCAGTGCGAATCAAAGTTTTGAACACATAGTGAACTGCCTAAGAAGACTTGGGCTACTTGTACCCAGGTTCAAACAAGGCGTTTGAACATCTGTGCCAGAACCCACATGTAACTGACCTGCATGGTCTGTCCCTGTTGGTGGCTGTACTTGGTGCAGATGGACTCAGTAGTCGTAGTATGTCGGGAATGACTTCTCCATCACCTCCCTGCAGACATCAATTTAGGTACATTTAGGCATTGTATACAAAAACAGTAAAGGTACTTGTGTCTGCAAAATACAGAAACTCTTGATAGTACATGAAATAACATGAGCACATGACACAGATAACATTCACTGTAAACTGGCCACTGAGCTAGGTGAACAAGGGGAGATAACTCTGAAAGATTCTTCTTCATCAGGCGTTCATCCTCAAATTAGTAACAAGTTACAAAATTGCTTGTTGGCACCAAAGAGTAAGCCAATGATCAGTTTTATTTTACTTACACTAATATATCACATTTTATCCAGTCCCAGAATTCTGTAATGATAAGTTATTATCAATAACCACTTATCTCATAATTTACAGATATATTGACAGTTTGACAATGTTTGTGCTCCCAAGCTCAAACATGGAAAGAAAAGCGATAAATATAATCCACAAAAGTGAACCCTTGAAAGGTGATTGTGTGCTGTACACATACAGAAATAGGTACCCCAGAGCAACAACTTCAGTTGCCTTGTTATCCAGCCAGTCAGTATTTGTTCCCCCAACTGACCGCAGGTACTTTGGTGATGAAAATCTGTAGAACCAGTAACATTACGGCATTTATATCTGAGAAATACAGTTACACCCGGGTTGTATTTGTACCACATATAAAATGACAAATACTGGGACTTACTTGAGAGCTGAGGGACAGACAGAGTGATCATCCAGCATGTCGCACACAGCCACTCGCAGCGTCTCATGACAGATGATCTCATTATAACGCTTGGCGTCACCCGCATTCCTTTCCTGAACATAGAGCACATATTGGATACAACCCACCCACATATTTAGTTTAAAACTAAACAATATGTTAAGTTTAATAAACTGGACATTAGTTTTCAGTCTGAAACATATACTCTAATCTGTTTAAAGTGTTACATCACATTGACCTCAAGTGTGTGTACATGTCAGAGTTACAAGATTAGTTCCTTGAAAGATCAGTGCGTAGACATCATAAAACCTAAAATATGTTAGAGTCATCTTTGATTGTGTCACCAATGCTGAGGAAATACTTTTCCTTGCCATTTTCTGAAGCATGAATAAGATTACTGTCTTGGTGCAAATATTGGAGTAGGGGTGTTGTAGTAAAAACATTTTACTTTTTAGCAGTCTTAGTGCTAAGTTATGTTAATGACCAAATTAAGACAGCGTAGAACCTGTCTCTATAGCTCTCAACAGGTACAATGACAGCCAAAGATGGCATATGGAAGAAAACGATTTAACAGTACAGGTCTACTGTATCATTTTGAAAACAAAATCATGTGTTTTCCAACTGCACTCACAATATACAAACAAACAAGATGACACTGACAGCTTAACGCTTAACTCATAACACATGCACAAATAAAGGTATTCTTTGGACTCAATCAGTACAAAATATACAGTGTTACCCTTTCAAAGCCAGGTTCGTTGTGGTAGGGCTTCTCGTTGAGCAGAGACTGGATTGATATGAGAACTGTGGACAGGCTCTGGGCGGGGCTCCAGGCAGGGCCAGACCAGGTTCTGAGGGGTGAAAACGAGTGTTATCACATACACCACGCATAATCTGTAAGTCAGTGAGTGACAGAAGATTGTATTTACAGTATTGCAGCTACATCATAATAGCCTGTAAAGTATCAAGTCTGGTAACAGGTATGAATGTATCAACCAAATAGAAGCATATCGAGTTCACTTCCTTTAATTTTGCCACATCTGGTTCATTTTGGTTAAAGAGTTAAGAGCAAATCTCCAGAAAATTAATTCCATCCATTTAATGGTTGCACTCCGAAGGAGAATGTGCGAACACACAAGCTGACGGACACCTTAAGATCAGCACTGAACCAACTGATCAAGAGTATTTACAACAAAAACAGCATCAAGTCTCTCATGGTTACAGTGACAGTGGAATATCATATCCACTGATACTAATAGTTAATGCAACATTGTAACCATTTGATCTTCAATTAAGGCAGCTCTTCCAACATGCACTAAGGTCCTTTGATGCTCAGGACCCAAGAGTATTTCCATGCAGAAATAATTATAAACACACATTAGAGACATTAGGAACTATTGTTACAGTGACAGTGGAATAACATACCCAATGATACTAAGGCACACTTTCCCGTTCTTGTAGAGGTTAGGGTTGAATCGGACACGCCCATCCCCTGTTGTCATTAGCTTGACACGAGGGGGGTGGATGGGGTAGTCTGGCGGGCAGCGGATGAGGAAGTAGAAGAATCCCCCTTCATACGGGGTGTCAAATGGGCCAGTTATCAAGGCATGGATCTACAACACACATGGGAGTACCCTTCAACATACCATCACTAACATACCATCACTGGTGTCATACATAAAGACAAAAAGTGACCTTTCTCTTGAATACATCGTAATACCCCTTACATTTTCATACTGAAAGTGATGAGCAAGTGAACATGGTAAATGGTTCATGCATATGTTGCAAATGTACAGTGACATAAGAGAAGTATGTCAATATGGCACAAAACTTTGTTGACATATATCTGGCACACAGCAATATTCTATGCCATATCTTGGAGATCTTCAAATAAATGAGTCTGGGCTGGGCAAATCAGTGGTTGAAAGCACAAAACAAGATCTAGTTCCTGCTCATTATGGAAAGTCAACACTTCAGGCAACACACCCATGTGGCTGATCAAGTTGATATCACACTTTTGAGTTACATGTCTGTATAGGTCAGTACCTTTGTGATGTCCTCCTTGTCAGGTACAATGCACATCCCTGGGGGCGGCTCATTGTAGATGGTCATGATATCTCTGAAACATGTCATGACATTTCTAATACATAGCAGATGCTGGAACACATACGTTGCTTCAGAGTCCTGCAACACTGCCCCTGATCAACAAAGTTTCTAAGCTGTTGATATCATATTTCAGGAAGGGGGCCGGTCTGAGTAACACGACCAACATTTCGATTCTTATGGTTAACAGGGCAGTGGGGAGGCTTAATGGTTAAAGCGTTCGCTTGTCTCACTGTAGATTGAGATTTGATTCCCCACATGGGTACAATGTGTGAAGCCCATTTCTGGTGTTCCCTGCTGTGATATTGCTGGAATATTGCTAAAAGCGGCATAAAACCATACTCACTTTATGGTTAACCGCAAGTTATCTTAAAGTCAAAGTCTGAATAGGATGTCTCGAGAAATGACATTAAGAGAAAATGGCTTCTGTGAGGTTACCAGAGATGGATTTAAGTGTCTCTTTAATCCAATGTTACATCAATCCATTCAATCAGCAAACAGACCCGCTTATTAGTGTATAGTTGAATACTTCTACAAACACAATAAATGGTTTTATAAAAACAACAACACATGGTTACTGTATTTATTCTGTTATCAGGCAAGAAGTTCAAAGGATATATAATAAGTGGCTAAACTCAAGTTAATTTTTCTTCTCCAGTATTGGTGTGTAAATAACATGACTGAAATTAGAATTCATGTGTGCAGTGGCTTGTTTTGGCCTTTGATGCAGTCATCACTAATGCTGTTGCCAAGAACAGAAACCAGTTTTGTATAAGGAGTGCCTCTCTGGACTTGCTGGGGTATTCAGTAATGTCTAGGCCAGTTTGAGTAGAGTAGAGTTCTTGACCACAGCAATGATAACTCACTGGATGCCATCCATTTGGCAATTTCTAGTGTTTGCATTATGTATTGTTACCACTGTACACTGTACAAAACTGCTGCTTGATATACTGTAATGTATACATAGCAAGCTGTTTGTTTATGTATTGAAGTTGGTATTTCCATTTTCCAAAATGATGCCATCATGTTAACAGACATTAAATTACAAAAATTACTGCAAGGTTTAATTCAGGCATTTTTTTTCATTTGATTCACTCTCAGATTAGTTTCAAGATTTACAATAATGGTTATATGCAATGCATATTAATCTTAGAGTCAAATGTTCACAAAGTTGCTATCCAACAGTCAACACTACTGTCTGAAGAAATCATGTCATTGGATGATGATATGACCAGAACTATTTGAAGGAAACATAATCTGAATTTTGTCAGTCACCATGTTCTCAATCCCTTTATTCAGTAGTAAAGAGGCCACAGGCCTGTAGTACATTTACAATATCCATATGGTAGAATATAAGCAATCATTAACATGGATATTACATAACACAATTAAGACATGACAGTCTTTCTATAGATTAAAGCATTGAATATAAATGCTGATACATTTCGTAGAATTTGAGAATTCTGCGTACTCAGTAGATCAATAAATTTGTGAGTGTTTGGGTGTCTATTGTAATAATTGGACAGATATTTTTCTCTTATTGTTGAAAAAAATGGACATATAAGAAGTAAATGATATTCGTCTTCTATGCTATTCATATTACAAAGTTTACAATATCAGTTTTCTCTAGAGATATTTGTGTACCTTCCTGTTTCCACAAAGAAATCATTGAATGAACATCTTAGCCTTGCAATTGCTATCCTAAATTTCTTCACATTTATAACCTTGAGATAAGTTTCAGTTTCAATAGTGGATTTTAGCTGTTTGTAATAGAAACATTTACTCAACAAGCTCAGGGTACAATGCCAATCTTGCAGAAATATGCCTTCTAACCTCTGTGTAAAAGTAATTATGAAATTTGAAGTACAGTTTACACGTTGATCATACCAAATGTAGTCAAAACCTGTGTGGATATGGATAAGTCTTAAGCAATAATTAATGACTATTATATAAGCATATATATACATGGGATAACATCCCGTTTCCCCATACACCATAACACTGGGAGTATTTGTTTTAATCCCTAGGTATTTTTTACACGCAAATAAGTGTACTTTTTCAATTGCATCATAAGCTTTAAGTCCCCATACCTCTGACCCATAAACATGATAAAGTAGTATTGGGCTTTTTTTTGTGTCAAATATCTTGAAAAAAGTATTATAAGATATGTCTGAAAGTACAGAAAGGTTCTTGCCAATTCTTATCAGTATTTTCTTAGCCTGGTTTGACGCCTCCTTAGTATGTAAGTTCCAAGTGAGGTGATCTGTAAAATAGACACACTACAGAACTATATGAAGGAAATGTTTTCTGATTTTTGTCAGTCACCATGTTCTCATTCATGTCACTCATGAACAATGAAGATTTGTCTGCATATGATGATCGCAGTGTGACAGGAGTATGAAAAGTCAAAAGTTTAGTTAACAAAGATTCATTAACATATCCAATGTAAGCAAACTTGCAAGAAAGCTGATGTTTATTTTCACAATGGAAATCCCAGTGTGTCATTTTTCTTCTAAATCTGTTATGTTTATGATTCATTTATGACAATGACGAGGCAAGGGAAAGAACGTATGCCATAAAGATCAGATACATATATATCCAACATACTTTGTATGTATAAAACAAACCCAGACACTTTGATATAAACTTAATAATCAGTTGTTCTCGCAGTGTGAAAAAATAGCACCGTATCACACGAAGTGAAATAACAAAAAGGGTATTCGCGAATTAAATGTGTTCATTTTCTAAACTGTAAAGTTAATCAGCGATTGGAAAGAGCTACACTGTCAACGTTCTTATGTTCATATACGGAATGTGAAACTGTCATTATTTCTCAGAACACGGAAAGATCGTTTTGTTATTTGACCGATATATGACTAATGATGTTAAATACCGTTTAATTCTGAGAATACATTGCTGCGTAGGCTTTTCTTTGTCCCAGTCTTTACAGTGACATGGGTCCCAGTGGGGCCATTTTAGAGAAGGCCCTTCATCTGTTGCTACAAGGTCCAGCGTATCTTCCAAAGCAGTCGCCATGTTTATCTTACTTCGACTTCCTCTTTGCCGCACTGACCTATTTTTTGTGCGAATAAATACAGCAGGGTTAAATATGATAATAGAGTTGATTTAAAATCCTACACAAATATTTGGGGGGAATATAAGATATCAAAGAATTTATCTTGAAGAATATACACCAATTGCTATTGTCTCTGGTCGTAACTCCGTATATTCCCGAACATCAAAATAAACACATATAAACAAGCTTTTCGTAACATAAAGATAATTATTTAAGTGATAAGGACTCTGTGTGGATTTGCTGGCGTGCTACTGACTGAAATTATAGTTTTGAATTATACATCAGAGTATTCTTATTAATATTATGGAGTCAAACTTTATTTTGTAGCGGACTTTTTCTTGAGTGATAAGGTCGTAAACGTTAGCGGGACGTTTCGCGCACCTGACATTCGTCATTTCTAAATTCAGAAATCTATAGGCCACGTGATCGCAGTGGACCAATCAACTTGTCCGAATTTATGCTGAGGTTCGCTTACGTTGGTGAAACGTTTCTTCGTCATATAGTCAACGCGGATTGGTATGTGCGCTCAGTAGCAGCCCGGACAGCGATTCAGGGAGGTGTACGACTCTGTTTAAGGATTTTGGTAACGAATTTGTTGTTGTAACGCGTAATTTGTGTACCTATCAAACTCTGTGTAGTATTCGTTGATTATTTTGGCGACATATCAGCGTAGTTTCGCAGTTTTGTGTGTTATTGCTAACTTGGGAATTCAGCCAGTGGGAATTTTCCTGTTCTCAAAATCTTGTGGTCAATCTTATTGAAATGGCTTTATCGTTCGATGATTTACTGAAAGTTGAGGGTGGGATGGATGTTTCTCTAGATGTGGACATCCCAGATAATTTGTTTGATTTAGATAATTCCTCATATGACATTATTCAGACAGACACGGCCGGTAACAAGTGCCAGAAGAAGTCGCCATTTCATGAATCGGACAGTGGCATGTCAGAGGACTTTAACAGTGTAGATCTAAACAGCCCCCAGAGCGTTACCAATTCATCAGGGAAAATGCTGGATGAGTTTGTGGACGCTCTAGAGTTTGAACCCTTCTGCCATGGCGCAGATAAGGACCTTTCTGACTATTTTTGTTCTGCCTCAAAATCAGAATCTGAGGAAGAATACCAATATACTGACATCAGCAGCAACCATCCAGTAACAACTCTCATGACACAAACATCTGTGTCTAGTTCTAGGTCAAGTTCACCAGAGATTCCAGTGAAGTCACTACGTAATAGGGTGGTTCAGGCAAACAGCAAGGCTGCTCCTGTTTCCTCCAAAACTGTTTGTAAGTCACCTCCACATGACAATGTAACAACCTCACAACCAACAGGTATTCAGTCTGTGAAGGTTTTGAAAGTTATTAAAACCTCTGGTAACGCCAATACAGCAACAGAGGTGTTGAAGGCCCTGGACGACCGCAACAAGAAGAATGCAGTTCAGGCTAAAGTCAACAGGGAGAAAAAGAAGCTGTACATCAAATGTCTTGAGGACCAAGTCTCTGATCTTACAAATACGAATGGTCATTTGAAAGTAGAGAATGACTCTATCAAGCATAAAAACACTGCCCTGGAGGAGGAAGTTCAGTACCTGCGAGCTGTGCTGGCAAATGAAAGCAGCTTGTCCAGGCTGCTTGGTAACATTGAAAATGTTCAAAATGTGAAACTGAAGTCTTCATTTGCCTCCCGCAAGCGCAGTGCAGCTATGGACCACGATTACACCCCCAGCAAGAAAAGCAAGCAATCACACTCAACTGCTGGTGTATGTCTGCATGTGGACAATGACACAGTATCTTTGGAATTCTGTTCTAAGTGTTCTAAGATGGCAAAATCAAGTGATGAAGATTGACATTTAAACTGAACCAGAAAGCGTTCTCCCAAGTGCTAGACTGCTTGAACCAACCAAGCGGAACCAGTCTGTGCTGGCCATGCACAGGAAAGACTTCCATCCATGGGACCTCAAGTTGACAGAATGTTGCAGCAGTGTTCTACACTATGGAAGGAAAATGTCCAATGACTTCCAGCCATGACCTCCAAAAGTGACAAAACTGTCACGACTGTGATGTAAATAGTTGTCATGTGAGAATTTGCAGATGTTTACCTGAGAAATGTTTGTTACAACTTTGCAATTGTTAGCAATCATGGTAAATTGTTCAATGTTTGACATATACTCTGATCTGGCAATCTTGCAAAATGATTTTTTTCAGAAGCAGCTTGGGTGCAGTTCTGGCTGATGTTGATACACTGCAAGAGATTGCCTTTTCAGAGATTAGATTGATGCAATATTCAATTGTGACTTTCCATTTTAGGGAAGCAAGCCAGTGTGGGAAATCTAATCTCACCGAGATGATTGCTTGGCAGAATGTTTGTTTATTCGGTAAGGTCCCGCCACAGTTTTAGTATGTTCTTAGATTGGCAACTTCTTGATTTTTTTCTCTCTTATTTAAAGTTACTAATTGACTCAATCAAAATTAAGGACAAGCAGTTGCCAGTCTAAGTTAGGTTATAGTAGGTCTTAAGAAAAAAAAAAACAAGATTATTCTGCATGTTAAATGATGTAACATTATTTGAAGTTAAGACATCATTAATGTCAAATGTAATGCGAGATGCAATTTCCAAGATTTGAGGGTGGAATCCCCTCTTGTACATTTGTATATATTGAAGTTCCACAGAGAACTTACACCTTGCCTTTGTTATCCAGCTTCCTGTGTGCGTGCAGAGCCAAGATCTGTAGTAGAGAATCTTTGAGAAACCAAGAGTTAAAGGAGTGGGTAATGTTACATTGGTAAGATACTTGCCAACAGGTAACATGGGTTTGGTAAGGCTCGTGAAGAAAAATGTAAAGTTAAATCTTTTTTGGGAATTCACGAAAATTGTGTGTTTGGCATTTATTTTTTTCTGGTTTAATTTTACAGTTTTCTTCACTCTGTTCAAATAAGGCATTATAACAGACATTATAATTTCACTGTAAAGGTTTTGGTGTGCCCATTAAAAAAATTCAAGAAAAGCTTCAGTAAGATTGTATTTACAGTACGTGAGTGATCACTTTCAGCATTGGACATAAAACTTTGTAGAAATTGATGTTTCTCGGGCATATGCTATATTTCTCCACTGAGAACTCTTTATCTGTTCTAATTAAACCTTGTGCTTATTTGATCAGATGAGCCTGGTTGTTCAAATGATTTCATTGGATATGGTAACATCATTCAGATCTTGACATAGCCTGTAATCTAGTGAATTGAATTGACACCTGATGGTGTTGGACAGTTATTGATATTTTGCTTATTGTTTGTATGAATAAAATTGTAATTATTGAACATGAAAAAACAAGTTACTCCTTATTTACAATGTATTTTAGAGATAGTGTGTCTTGAACTAACCAGTGTTGCAGATGGAGGGAAGTGGCTTTAGAGCTTGTTGAGAGCGGAGGTGGAGACAATTGAAGTGTTGATGGTGAGAAAACTTTATCATATACTGGCCAAACTTTGACAATAGTTATCATGGCAATTGTGAAGCAATTTGCCATAGTATTACAATGCAGTGTGATGTTGTCTCAGGGCTTCCTAAATAATGTATGTCCAAGTTAACTGATATTTGATCACTGTGAAGTAGCTGCCACGTTACCAGGTACCACTGACAATATTTTGTTATCTCCTTTTTCATCTCAGATCATACTCTTATTTCAGTGGTTGCGGTCTCACTCTACTGATAATCTGTGGGATATTTGAGCTTCGATGATGTGAAGCCAACTTCTTTAGATGGATAGTCATCTAATATAACAAAGTCTCAAAATAATCCAACATCAAGCAGGCAACACCTGTATCATGTATCCCCAGCAGGGCTCCAGATAAGGGCTGTATGTACGGATAGAAAATATGCACGATACGGTAGGAAATATTTTGGGAAACGTAGCAGATACGCACCACAGCAATGGCATACGGTCTTAGAATCATTTACAGTTGTATTTATCGGAAAAAGTATTGTTTTATTGTTAATTGACCTGTTTACACAAGAGTAGCAATGTTGTGGTGCATATATGAAACGAAACACAAGATTACTGATACTCCAATAATTTCCATTTAGTACTCTAAATGGACTCTTAAGGTTTTCCAGTACTCATATACTGAAAAAATAAGGAGTACGTACTCCTGATGGTGAAAAATTGTCTGGAGCCCTGCCCAGTAATACAAACTGTATTCAGTCTTCAATTAATTCCTGTCTCTACCCTGGTAAAAAGTTTCATTCATGGTCATATTGGGCTATCATGTAATAGATAGTCTCTGGATAGCTTTCAAAATGGGTTATAGGAGGGAAAGTTCATTATATTCAAGCACCAAGTAACTTGCGCAGATTTACAATTTCATGTTTAATTTAGGAATTCTAGCTTATGTTTTTGTTTCCTTGAAGGTAATGGGTTACGTTGGGTTCCAGTAACATAAGTAAGATGGTTCTCTGGAATTCTGCTTCAAGTATGTCCACAGTAACTTAAGCTTGTAATAGGAAGCCTTAAACATGTTAAAACAAATAAATTGTACTTCCAAAAGTAGACAGGGATGGCAATTATCCGCCGATTTTAATTCAAATCGATAAGTTCAAACCACCCATTCGGTGACACAATATTAGGTTTTCAGCTGAACATACTGATGCCATGCAGAAATACAAATGGTAAAAGTCCACCTTCACATATTTATTGCTAGCAGACCTTAACGGAAGCAGAAGGATTAGAGTTGACAGACAATGCAGAGTAGGTACAATATTGTTCATTGTCTGCATGGTTAGATAGGTGGGTGGTTGGCAGTCTTTGAAACCAAGCCTCTAGTCCACACATTGCTGTGGGTATTTTAACTGTTTAGTCTGTCAGTTAGGGCTGCAACGATGCTGTTCGATTACTTGAAAATGGAATCAGACACCTTCTTTTTGATTTTCAATAACCATTATAACTATTTCGATTCAATATTGGAGTACCTATTTAAATTATTTCCACACATCCAGAACGAATTTTGAATCCAACGCAAACAGTTTTGAGCGCTGAAATAAGTCAAAAACGTGATTCGTTAACGTCAGGCTAATTATCCAATGGGAATTGTTTGTAGACATCGCAAAGTTGACGATGGCTTTCATGCTATAAAAGCCGTTTCTGAGAGATAAATGAAATCAGATGTTTTTACTTGTATGAAGAATTCAATCAAAAATGATTGATTCAAGGGTCCAGTATAAAAACTCGAATTGAATCGAGGTCTGGGTGAATAGTTGCAGCCCCACCATCAGTAGTCTCTGGTTACCTGTTTTATGTCTACACCATGGCTGGCTGCGAGCATGAAGTTAGGCTAAAGAGAAGTAAAATTAATCGCCATGATTTCGAGAGTTCTATTGAAAGACCTTGATGTATCATGGTTTTGTTGTGTTGGTTATCCAGGTTCTTCCCAAAGTTGTCAAGACAAAATTAAAAGCAGACTGGGTTTACTTTGGTATCAAAGACATGACTGTCTACTGTAACCTAGAGGGGCGATGGGGTAGCCTACTGGTTAAGGCGCTCGCTTGTCACGCCGAAGACCTGGGGTCGATTCCCCACATTGGTACAATGTATGAAGCCCATTTCTGGTGTCCCCTGCCGTGATATTGCTGGAATATTGCTAAAAGCGGCGTAAAACTAAACTCACTCACTCTGTAACGTAGACATGTATGTTAGACTTGTCTTTGGATGATATGCTATAGGGTTACATGATTGGGTTGTGCATGGTTCACAAATATTTTTTCACATTTAGTTAAATGACATTTTCAAAATACCCTGAGAATATTTTCTTAATCAGCTAAGTGTATGAATAAAGGGAATGTCATGTAAGTAATGAAATCATGAACACAATCTTGGAATTCTAATGTCATCTTAAGCAAAAACTATTGCTTGTAGACTCATTTCAAGTGAGTGATCTTTGAGATTTATTGAAGTGAGTTTAGATTATGGGACCCCAGATGTGGACGTTAATAAATATATATATTTTATTTGAAATAATCCCTGTGCTTGGGGAAAGAATCAAGGGCATGTTTATTGTAGTGGTTAGAACTGCTGTTGTGAAGATTTTGGCAATAGTGTTGTCTAATCAGTGCTGGTTTCCCAGTTAGACATGAGAAATAATGTTCATCTTTCCCAAATCTCATAGCGCCAATTATTTTGTGATGTGACTTCCACTTGTGGGTCAGTGCTACTAAATTCATTGGACAAATGAACTTTTTAAACCAGCCATCCAAAAATCTGTATCGTGAAATCATGTCTTAAATGTAAATTTTTAAGGCTGTGGCAATATATTGTCAGTGATATTTTATATACACTTGGTTGTGAGTGCTATGGCATAGAGAAGTTGAAAGAACATTTTTTTGTTAGGTGAGGTTTTTTTTTTAGGTGTTTCTTTCGTTTTAACTCAAACTTGCTAAGATGGCATGTATTCTAGTTACAAACTGACAAATAAGAAAATCAGTTGTACTGTGTTTGACATTATTTCCTTTAATTTTTAAAACATGTTCCCATTTTTCCAAAAAAATTATTTTGTATATGTGATCAATTAGGTTTTAAACTATATTTGAAGGATTACATATTGCAACAATTGTTAATGGCTACTTTGACTATAAACTTCTCCATTACACCATAAAGTGGATGTGTTAGAGGTTGGTCTTACATAAGTGTTTGTGAACTTATATGGGTTCACTGTTGCGTGCTTTCAAATATGTGGGTAGCCTAATGGTTAAAGCGTTGGCATGTATGTTCTGCCTTTTAAGTCATACCTAATCCCCAAATATAATGGAAATGATTTCCTAAAAATCACTCATCCTCTACTGACAGTACAACACTGGTCCTATACTAACAGTACAACTTGATAGCAAGCTTTTCATGGAATATTGTTTTGAACTTTTGTGCATATCTAACATTTTAAATGCTTCGTGGTAATTAAAACAAATGCGTGGTGGAAATTTTCTATCGTGAAGGGGTGAGGTAAAGGGAGGGACTCTGAATATTTGTTGACATCTGCAAATTTTTTCAAGCAACTTTGAAGTATGCACTCCTTGATTATCTCCCTGAAAATTGTAAACATTTATGGGTTTTTTTAGTTCGAGTGGAAAAATTCATTTGTTTTATTTAAGATTTTATATGAGCTTAAGGTGTATTGGTTCCATAGTTGATTAAGAAGTTGTTTTAGTTTGGCCATATATGGTAAAGTTGGTGAGCTACAGATAACATGCTATCTCCTCAGTTGTTTGGAGACCGACAATCACTGGGATTCCAGAACAGTGCATTTAATAGGATGGGCAGAACATGTCCCAAGCACCTGTGATTTAGAATGCGACAAAGCCACGCGGATGTGGCTTTAAGGTCATTAAATGTGACCAGGCACAGTGTGTTGTCTTGTCAAAACCACATTGACAGCTGTTGCCATGATCTAACCTGTTCAAACCTGTGAACATCTAGGTTAGAACTTAGTCTCCAGCAGCCCATGCTTGTAATGGGATAGGGTGGTCAGACACACTGACTTTGTTAACAGGTCATTATATCCCAAATGCGTTGGAAGATCCGGGTTAGAATTGGTCTTCAGCTACTTGTAACGGGATCAAATAGTCAGTCGCTGACTTGGTTGACACAGGTCATCGTATCCCAGCTGTGTAGATCGATGCTCATGCTGTTGATCAGAGGATTGTCTGGTCCAGACTCAATTATTTACAGACTGCAGCCATTTAGTTGGAATATTGCTGTTTGGCATTAAACATCAAACCAACCACACAGTTCTGTAGATCAATGCTCATGATATTGATCACTGGATTGCCTGGTCCAGACTCATTACAGAATATTGCTGAGTGCAGTATTTAACAACACAAACAAAATTACCTGTTCAGTTTTGTGGCTGATGTGACGAAGCTTTTCTGTCACATTGAGATGGTTTAGATACAGTTGTGTGGTGTATCTAACACCTAGTGTGATGTTCATGATGCCACAACCTGTAATAGATAACCCTGAGTTTGATAATTATAAGGAATGTCCCTTACCATGGGATGTACCTGTGCCTGGCTACCTGCTCTGGTGTCAAGGGTACAGGGTGCTACTATAAACACATACTTTACCTACTGGTGACACTACATGGGAATTCTCGCTGACTTGGTTGACAGGTCATATCATAATTGTATAGATTGATCATTCTCGCTGACTTGGTTGACAGGTCATATGAGAATTGCAAAAATTGATAGACGTGATGTTCATCACTGGATTGTCTGGTCCAGACTCGATTATTTACAGACTGCTTGCATATAGCTGGAATGCTCAGTGCGGCATTAAATAACAAGCAAACCATAGGGGAATCTGTGACGGTTGGTTATGAAACACATTGCCACAAGTCCTGGTCTTCGCTAAACTACACTCTTGGAATCTCGTTTGACTATTGCTCTTTTGTAACAAACACACATTCACCAAAGCCTAAGTGGAGACCATGAGGACCCTGACCAAACTGAAAGCAGCAGCCCAGCCCAACCCATTGTCTACCTGCCATGGGCCAACACTGGTTCCTGTTATCGCGTATTAATACACAACATCACAGAAAACTGAAAATGAATTTTTGGAGTGTTATTGGAAAACCACAGAACAATTACTTTGTTCTACTTGAAATTTTATGTATTTTGTTTAATTTACATAAAAGGACTTGTATGACTAAGCGGGAAATAGAGGAAAATACTTTGGGTGAATCTTTGTGCTGTTATCTGGGTAAGGAAACAATGGTTTCTTGGTTTTGTTTCTATATTTAGGTGTTACACTTTGTACAAAGCATTATGGAAAACATACATTTACAATAAAAACACCTACAAATCACAATAGAATATGGGATAAAACAACAAAATGCCATTTATGGTAAGGTACACAAGGACTCCACATGTAAATGATCAACCAGAAAATGTTGCTGACACTTTGCGCAAAGCATCATAATTTGATACATCTTGTACACACGATTAAGAGTTTCTTAAAATTAACTTGCATAAGTGAGATATGCTGGTGTGCGTATCGGGATAAGTTTACAATGCTCAACACAATGCCATTCGACTGTAGGAAGAGTCACAATGTGCACTTATTTGAGGGCTTCACAAGCAGTTGGCCCAGACTACATATCTTGAATGCCACGGTGGCTATGCAGACTGGCGATTTGTCTTGCAGTCCCTTAACCACATTAATTTCCCTATTAGATCGCCGGCAATACTAAAGCGCTAAACGAAGCAAGTCTAGATTCCCTCTGAATTTCCTATTTAGGACTCCATTTCAATTTAGATGGGTATATTTGCTTGACAATGGTATAAGAAGCTATACCGAAAGATCGCATCATAATAAAATACAGAAGTTATCCATAAAGTATTGTACCTTTCTTATAAATCATCAACTTCTAAAATGCCAGTCAAACGGATTATTTGCTTCACCAAAATTATATATTTTCAGAGACCAAGCGTTAGTCTGGCTGGGGAATTTGGATTAGTAGAAATAATTTGCACTCGACTAAGAAAATGTAAAACGAAATATAACACTATTAATAACGATACACCTGTTCTGTCATACTAATGAACTATTTAAAACAACCGGACATGCTACTGGTTGCACACGTAATAATAAAGGTGGACTAACTAGTCCCTGAAATGAACATATTTTACTGAAAATGCGGTTCCTAATATTATTCATAAAATATATTGAAGAGGCACCAAGTCCAGACTACCACATAGTTTACATTTGCATAGGAGGTACTTTTGAGATATTTCTGTGTAACGTTAGGTCCATTCGATGATTCGCAGTTCATGCGGACCTTTTACATTCTTTAAACAATACTGGAAAGTGGGAATAGTATCAATGAAATTGAAGTCCGCCACGAACAGTCATACAAACTCTTGCTTTACGTCGGCAAGGAGAAGCATCATTTCATCGCATTTCATTTTAAAGTCGTAGGTAGGAGTTGTGAGGAAAGTTGCGGTGTACAGCCATAACTGTCTCTACTGGCTACTTCAGTCCGACCACAGGGCTGGTTAGATGTAAAACTTGCCTGCCCACAAAAAAATTTAGGTTTGACAAGCGATGTAGTTTATCTTCCAATTGGAATTCATCATTTATTTTTACGATTGAATTAATAATGATCCATTATTCTGAAATATGATGAATATCTTCATATACATGTCAAAATTGTAACCCGACCGTCCGGCAGGTGAATTTGAGAATCTAGCAGTCAGTGGTGAAAATAACTCTTCCCGGGTGATCGGACAGGCAGGTATTTCGAACGCTGCTATTACACGAATACACGCAAATATCTAATAATGACATCCATACATCAGACATTCGCATAATATCTCTACCTTCCAGAAATATGAATCAGGCTGTTAGAAAATGACCAGATTGTATACCACAAAACCCACATTGTTGCAAGACGAGGGTGGAAATTGGGTTTTAAGGGATAGTGGCGTGTGGGTGGAAGCCAGGAGTGAGTGAGTATGGTTTTACGCCGCTTTTAGCAATATGACGGCGGGGACACCAGAAATGGGCTTCACACATTGTACCCACGTGGGGAATCGAACCCGGGTCTTCGACGTGACGAGCGAACGCTTTAACCACTAAGCTACCCCACCGCCCCAGGAGTGAGTGAACTTTATAGAGGTAGGATACCCAGGTGTAAGGGTGTCGTGGCGATGGATCAAGCCAAGATGTAAAGACGAAGACAGATGTTTAGGGTCTAGTGACAGTGGTGGAAACCTGGATGAAAGAGCGTTGGAGCGATAGTAGAAACGTCACTGCGAAGTTGGTTTGGTGAGAAACCCGAGTGTAAGGGTGCGGTGAATGGAGGAATGGAATGGATGGAATGGATGGAATGGAATGGAATGGATGGAAGGAATGGAATGGAATGGAATGGAATGAAAGGAATGGATGGAATGGGAATGGAATGGAATGGATGGAATGGAATGGAATGGAATGGAATGGAATGGAATGGATGGAATGGAAAATGGAATGGAATGGAATGGAATGGAATGGAAGGAATGGAAGGAATGGAATGGAAGGAATGGAATGGAATGGAAATGGAATGGATGGAATGGAATGGAATGGAAATGGAATGGAATGGAAGGATGGAATGGAATGAAGGGAATGAATGAATGGAATGGAAATGGAATGGATGGAATGAATGGAAATGGAATGGAATGGAAATGGAATGGAATGGAATGGAATGGAAATGGAATGAAATGGAATGGAATGGAAGGAATGGAATGGAATGGAATGGAATGGAATGGAATGGAATGGAATGGAAATGGAATGGAAAGAATGGAATGGAAAGGAATGGAATGGAATGAATGGAATGGATGGAATGGAATGGAATGGAATGGAATGGAATGGAAGGAATGGAATGGAAATGGAAGGAATGGATGGAATGGAATGGAATGGATGGAATGGAATGGAATGGAATGGAATGGAAATGGATGGAATGGAATGGAATGGAATGGAATGGAATGAATGGAATGGGAATGAAAAATGGAATGGAATGGAATGGAATGGAATGGAATGGAATGGAATGGAATGGAATGGAATGGAATGGAATGGAATGGAATGGAATGGAATGGAATGGATGGAATGGAATGGAATGGAATGAATGGAATGGAAATGGAATGGAATGGAATGGAATGGAATGGATGGAATGGAATGGAATGGAATGGAATGAATGGAATGGAATGGGATGGGGATGGAATGGAATGGAATGGAATGGAATGGAATGGAATGGAATGGAATGAATGGAATGGAATGGAATGGATGGGAATGAATGATGGAATGGAATGGAATGGAATGGAAGGAATGGAATGGAAATGGAAAATGGAATGGAATGGAAATGGAATGGATGGAATGGAATGAATGGATGGAATGAATGAAATGGAATGGAATGGAATGGAATGGAATGGAATGGATGGATGGAATGGAATGGAATGGATGGAATGGAAATGAATGGAATGGAATGGAATGGAATGGAAGGAATGGAATGGAATGGAATGGAATGGAATGGATGGAATGGAATGGAATGGAATGGAATGGAATGGATGGAATGGAAGGATGGAATGGAATGGAATGGAATGGAAGGAATGGAATGGAATGAATGGAATGGAATGGAATGGAATGGAATGGAATGAAGGATGGAATGAATGGAATGGAATGGAATGAATGGAATGGAAGGAATGGAATGGAATGGAATGGAATGGAATGGAATGGAATGGAATGGAATGGAAGGAATGGAATGGAATGAAAATGGAATGGAATGGAATGGAGGAATGAATGGAATGGATGGAATGAATGGAATGGAATGGAAAATGGAATGGATGGAATGGAATGAATGGAATGGAAATGGA